GAAGCACGTAAAAACTCCAAAACAAAAGACAACAGAAGTGCTCCAGGATGCTAGGGCGCAGTGTTGAGCTTTTGTTACCTAGAGGCTACACAAGCCAGCAATTAGCAACGACCGGATTTGGTGTGTGGTAGTAACAGGTAAATAAACATTTTTTTTAATTATTTGAATATATATGAGTGCTTGTGTATAAATACACAAACAATACACATATGCTTTCAATTGTATAATTTAAGTGATCTAGGTAGCTCTTTTTTGGTTCAGTTCAGTTAACGCTAGAAATGTGTTTTGGAGTTTGTACGTGCTTTGTCTCTAGGGGCCACCGTATATATTTATATGTAAACATATATAAATAAAACCATTTTTTTTTACATTAGTAATTCCTTTTGTGCTTAATTTTTTTATTGTTGTTAATAATAAATTAATTAAAGCAACAAAACAACCTGAAGAGCCGGTTCGGAGCCGAAAGAGCCGGTTCTCTAAAAAGAGCCGGAAATCCCATCACTACTTTACACACAACTAATGCACAACTGATAGTTTGTGCTTTGGATACAAAGCACACAGTAAAATCTAGAGATTATTCCAGGGAAACACCACTCATACTGAAATATAGATTAAATGTTTGAAGTAAAAACAGCACAAATGTTTTCTCAGCATTGTTCTCAGACAGACCAACTGAGAGTAAACCCTGAAACTAAAGCTCACTGTCCTATTTTAGGATTTAAGGAATTTAACGTAAATTATTTTCACTGTTTTGTTTTGGGGTTTCTTCTGTTTTAATTAATGATCTTCTTCTTCGGGCTTTTGAGGGTTTTTTCTTTTATCACAATAAAAGTAACTTTGAAAAAACTACAAAACACATACTTTGGTAGTTTAGAGTGGCATTTAGTTATGTTGTGGAAAATTTTGATACTCAGCTTTTGTCTGTTTTCAGTTTATGAGTATCATGATAATGTCAATGATTTTTTTCTGTGTCTGTGTGTGTTCTGGTCAGATCTCCTGTTTGGGACAACACTGGTTTCAGTCTGACGTTCCACATTCCCAGTTCAAATATCAAAGGTGTGGTCAACGTATGTCTTCTCCTCCCAGATGGTCGTTGCCATGGCAAAGCTAAAATCACCTACAGCTCATTACCATCATGCACCAATATTACTCCAAGCAGCAGCTGGATCAGGTGCATTTTTTCTACTGAAACCTCCAAATAACACATTAAAGTTATGACGGATCTCTTTTAGATATACACTTTAAAGCAACTTATAATGTTCAATAAGCAGAGATGTGAAACTGAACATGATATATTGAGATATAATTGGAACTCTAATACCCATCATGGTAGAAGAGAATCCCAGTTACGAGTTAGGACAGGACTCTCTGGAGTCCAGGTGTTAGTAGTGGTGAAGATGAAATTGGTGGTTTAGATGGGGCTCTGATTGTACACCATGAGGTGGAGATGAGGAGGTGGCAGGATCCACAAATAAGAACCTATAAGGCTGAAATGATAGAGAGGGGGAGGCTGAATGGCTCGGAGCAGGTAGGCAAGAAAATAACAGCATGTGAAAGTGAAGGCAATGTAAAGAAATCGACTCACAGCAGAGCAGCCAGGAAAGCAGGCACATGAGTAATTACAGATCTTCCTTATTGAACATAGGCTTTATTTTTAAATACTAAGACTTTGGCGGATGTCACACTGTCTCCAAATCCACCAATGAACCAAAGGTACCATTAAATAAACATGACACAGTGATGAAGAAAGCTTTCTATCTGTTTATCATTTTAGCCTTCTCCTTTACAAGCGTTTGTCGATGCAGCTCAGAGGTACAGAGGTACTGAGTACTCCACTGATGCTACAACACAGTTAAAGTGACACATGTAATGTGTTGTCATCAATAAATTAGCTAAAGCAACAGTAGTGAATCGTGACAAAATTTCAGCAGAACTATTTTTGAGTCAAGCCTCGCTGCTTTGACAGTAACTTAAATCGTATTTTTGAGATTTGTTCTAGGAAGCAGCAGAGAAACCGTTTTGGGTCATCTGATGGGGAAAGAGAGCCACTTCCCAAAAAAATGTCTTTTGCTATAACGCTACTTCCACTTTTAGTTGCAACTGAAAAAGGAAATTCTGTCATCTCAGTTTCTTTATTCACCTTAAAAAGGAACCCCATTTTATTTAAGAGTTTGTTTAAAGCACCAATCTTTACCTAGGCATTGGTTTCTTAATGGTATGTATTCAGCTTTATGTCAACATAAGTTAACTAAAACTGAGAGATTTTTTTAAGATTGATACAGTTAAAGACAAACACAGACATTTTAAATGTTCTCTGGTGCTCTGTGTCCTGCAGTGGGAAGAGGAAGATCACACTCACTGGGTCCCATCTTAACTTTGTTGAAGGGGTCATGCACAGCCCCACAATGCAGGAGGTCAGACTTCCCAGATACATCAGCTCTCAGGTACATTACACCTTCTATTACTGTTTAAGTTAACCAGCCATGTTATATCAAAAATTATGAATATGTGATGTTGTGTGCTGTTTTGGTCACGTTGTGTTGTCTTTTGTGTACATTTAATTTCATTGCAGAATCTCACCTATGATTCACCTGCAGCTCTGAGCATTTCTAGCAGTACTGTGTATTTGAAAGTAGCCAATGAAACCTTGACCTGCTCCAGAAAACTCTCGTACTATCCAGACCCTGAGTTTACCAGCTTCACAGCCACAAGGACAGGGAAAGATGTGCGCATCACCATTCAGGTATTTTTAAATATACTTTTTTTTATCATACATATACAAAAATGTGGCATCAGTTCATTGAAATGTAGCCTTTGTGCATCTTTCTTCGCCTTTAGACAATAATTCTGATGGCAAAAGAGCCAAACGGGACA